TATCAAGTAGAATTTTCGAGGACGAAAATATTCTAAGTGGGGGAGAGTTGTAACACCTGTTAATTTAATTAATTATTTAAAATTTTTTTTTGGATTATTTGTTAAAGTTGTGAGACATTGAGAATTTTTGGTATAAGTTGTTAGATTATTATTAATTAATTAAGTAGTTGATTAATAATGATGATAATGTTGGAATTAATAGAATAATTGTGTTGAGCTTATGTTATTGGTTGAAAGAAGTAATGTGGGGGTGTGTAAGTTAGGCCCAATAGAATTGATGATATAAGGTTAAGCTGACACAAAGGGTTTGGTTTTTGGAGAATAAGGAGTTTTGTGCACTGACCGTGTGAAGCCGCGCGAAGAGAGGAGCAACTGCCCAGTGTTGAGCAGAACAAAGCAGGGCTGTCAGATGGAAGTTTGGTGGAGCGACCCTCAATCCAGGTAAGGGTGGGGTTATGACCTTATAATGGGATCTATGATGTGTATTATGTAGGAATTGGTCGTTTGTATGACTGTTGTGCGTTGATGTTTCTGGATCGGTTTTTGAAGTTGCCCGTTTCCCTCATGTTGTGGTCATATAGGGAGTTGACGTACGACTGTTTAATGAACCTGTTATAGGAAGTTGCCCAATTGTTATGTTGTTGGCGTTTTGAGTTGTCTGTATAATTGTTCGGTATAATCGATGATTAGGTTAGGGTAGATTTTACCTGTTGATGTGGCCGTTAGGACGTTGTAATATTCTGAGCCGTTGGCAGGAAAATTAGTAAATTGTTATTGTGGTCGTTATAGGAAGGGCTCAACGTGACTGTCTTGTACAATTAGTGAATATGTTGAAAGTAGATATAGTTTCCCATTGTTGTGTTATTTCGAGCAGTTGGACAAAAATCATGGATTATGTTGTGATGGTCGTTATGTTGTTGTATTATTCTTTGTTGTTAGCCGAAATTAGTGGTTGAGGAGGATGCTGATCGTGTTAGGTTTCGAGCGACATGTAGGCTGCGAGGTGTGTCATAGAATATATGTGTTGGATGTCGAGCGGTATTAGGCTGCGAGGCGTGTCGAGGAGTACAGTATTGATGTCGAGCTGCACGAACCTGTAGGTGGTATCGAGAAGCATAAGTAGTCATTATTCTTCTTTGTGTCGGTGTGTGTCGAGGGGTATTGAGTTAGTTGTAACTTTATCTTGTTGCTGTGCATGTCGAGGGGCGCGTAGTTCCTCCTATCCCTTTTTCCCATACATGTTGGTTTGGTTGATACTAGTGTTGTATAAGTTGTTCTAAGTTGAGAAAATGCAGGTTGATGAATTATGTTGAGATGCCTCTAATTTTGGCAGATATTATGTTGTAGGATTATGGCCAAATTTGAATTATGTTGATATTGAATTGTTGTTGATTTTGTAGGCTTATGGCCAACATTGATTTATGCTGAGTTGTTATTTGTTGTTGATTTTTTCTACATTCATGTTGTGTCGCATACATCGCATATCAAGTTGGAGCTGATGCTCGTTAAGTTGGTCTGAATTGGAAAAATATTAAGTTGAAGTCTTATGTCTTGTTGATGCCTTTATTTATTGGCATATTTTTAATTTGGGAGTTCTACTCTATTGGTACCACATGCATTTGCATAAACACAAGTTGCATTTTGTGTTGCATTCTGAGTCATTTTGTGGTTGATTTGATTATGCTTGTGTTGTTAGACTATGAGAAGTGGTGAATATGTATGAATTGATTCTAATGTTTTATTTATCATATGTTCTATTATATTTTTTGATATCTCAACCCTTCTGTTTGAATGTCACCCCTACATTGGTAACGTGCAGGTAGTACAAAGTGAAGGCGGTTTACCTTCAGTAGTTCAAGTCGGTGTCATTGCTCTGATACGTAATACTCGGGGGGATGAACACTTGTTGTTTTATTGTTATTATTCATTTGTTGCACTTTAATCTCTTGTTCGTTAAATAACTGTTATGTGAAGTTGTTTTAGTTGGATAAAGATGTTATATTCTTTAAGTTGAATATTTGATTCAGCTGCGTGGTTATGAAAGATTAATTTATGTTGTTGTTGGTTCATCCAAGTTTAATGTGTTATGTATCTGTAATGAATGTAGGTGTTTTAAAGTTGAAATTGTAGAATCCCGATTCGGTTGTCGGAATTTTATAACTCTGATTTATATAATAGTTATCGGGTAGAATTGGGGTGTTACACCTTTTGGCCGTTAGTTTTCTTCCTCAGAATGCAACATTCTGGCATTCTGTGGAGTCTAGTCGTCACTCATGTACTTTTTCTCAAAATGCAGCATTCTGACATTCTGTGAAGTCTAGTCATTACTAGCATTTTTGGATTAAGTTCCACGGTCTTTGATCCTTATCTCCCATCTATAAACTTGTACTTTGGTCCAGTGCCAAAAAAAATCAAGACTATAACCCGTGTTGATATGTGTCGTCGTCTCAATTCAGAGTGCAAATATTTGAGTTCATTTTGTATTCAAACTCCTTCCACCTTATCGCTTGAAAGGCGTCCGCCAATCTCACTCTCTGGTTAAAGAAGTTTGAATAGGGGCAGCTGTTTCCCCCTAAAATTTGCCCTCCTTATTTTTTGTTATCTGGCTTAGGCTTTTGCACTCATCTGCATATATCCGATTAGGTCATTAACATAACATGTATTTTCATTCAATAAAACACCTTGGCTCAAAAGGTCAGCAATCACGCAAGCTAGGGTTTCTTTTAGTGTGAGGTGCAGATGCCCAATAAGCCTTTATTCTTCCGGTTCTTCTTGAAGCATGGATTAAAGAATTAGGGTTTAAATCCCCGGTGCTTAAACTTAGCATTATTTCAACTAAAGATTCTTAGAATTAGGGTTTGGCATTCAAGGATATCCTAAGCATCCCTCAAGTTGATCTTCACCTAAAGGGTTTCATTACTACACTTCAAGTCTTAACCTCACCTTAAAGGAATTCTAAGGGCGTTTCTTTTATGATATTTGGTCATCAAGAGTTGTGAAATCCCGGGAATTGGTACAAAAATAAGAAGCAGGAAATTATTTGTGATCGGGGCATGTTCATAATTTCGTTTCCTTATGGCTTGTCATGCAAGATGCTTTCGAGGCTTTAGATAAGGTTTTCATCGAATTAAGGATTGATTCACATGATGATTTAAGTTTAAATTGTACAAAAATTTCAAAGTTGGATTAATGTGTGGCTGAAAGTTTTAAGTGGTTTTCTTTACATTCAAATGACAAAGTCATTGGTTCATCATCATTCATTCATTTTAAGCCCCAATTATTCGAGGTCTATTTAAATGGGATCCACGTTCTTAATGCAAAAAATTTGGAGAAGGTCCATAAAAGTGGATTTTGTGACAAGTATGATGCAAATTACAAGACCTTGTCTCAAAGTTCAAATCATCACCATCCATATCGTTTCAAAACAAAATAAAGATCTATACTTTTTGGACAAGAGGACGTGTGGAATATAAAGTTTTGTCATTGATGACAAAAGCAAGTTGCAAACATACATGTTCAACATTATTCAAGTTTCATCAAATCCTTCCAACTTCATTCAAATTTTATTCATACAAATCACAAGCTCAATTACATTACATCGAAAAAAACTACAAAATTCTATCCTATGAAAACCTATCCTAATTCCTTCTCGCAAGCTTTAAACCATGTGAAACCTCGTCAAATCTGTCTAATAACCATGCAGAAGCTTGTTCCAAAACTTTATGCTAGCTTGAATTAAGAATCACGCAAAATAAGATTTTTCAACTTGTTAAAGGTGTCCTGCAATAACCTTCTAGCTCTGCACATCACAAAAAAAACCCAGCTCAGTATCGATGCAAAAATAAAATCTAGGAAGCAATGTGATTCAAGTTGGTTAGGGGAACCAAATAAATTCATTAACATCCAAGCCTCCACCTAACTTGAAACCTACAGAAAAATAAGTTCACCATAATGCCCTGCATCTGTTCAAGTATCCAAAAAATATCAAAAAACAATTTCCAGCTTGTCAATATCTGGAAAATTCAGAATAGTACAGAAAGAGAAAAGCTCAGAATTTGAGAGCTCATGAAATATCATGAAAAATGTGAGCATAAAATTAGTTAAACTTGTAGAGAAAGTTTTCAAAAAAGACCAGAGTGATCTCATCCATCGAATCCCATAACTAACTCCTAAGATCTAAGGCTCAGATCTATTGTTTCCTAACTAACTTTTCTACCGATAACAGATTAGATAAACATAAAACTCACCAGATTTATCTCATTCTTCAATTCTGCAGAAGAATCTTCAACCTTCTCTCTGCTCCTCTCACCTTCATTATTCAACTAGAAGAAGAATCACAAAATTCTCTCCTCTATTTTCATCTTTATTTTTTCAATCGGTGGAAGAATCACCATCATAAAAACTAGAAAACATCCGTTTTCTCTCAGCTTCAAGCATAATCTTCATCTTCTCTCATCTGTTCTTGAATTCTGAGAAGGATCTTGAAACTCCACAATCCTTAAGGATCTCTGCAAAACGTGTTCAACATCATGACCATCCTTCAATCTTCAACAACCTGATAACATCATCCTCATCACTGCATCTTCAACCCCCAAATCGCATATTCAACAACATCATCATTTCTTTGCAGAATTTTTATAAACCGTAACGCAACAACAACTTCTCACGCATCACAAAAAGATCGACAATGAAAAGTGCAAAAGAAGAATCAAAGATGTAGAGAAGAAGAATAATAGAGTGAGGAATTTACCTCTGGACTTCTCATCTTCGCCGCTGTGGAAGAGTCACCGGAGTTCTCTGGTCGGTAAGTCTCATCCATTCCATTAGGCATTTTTAGTTTTATGGTTGAAAGCATTAATCAAGAGCTTATAAATCATTGTCGAGACCGTGAGAAAAATAAGACAAAGGTGTTCTCCACAACAGTGAAGTTGATTAGTGAAGGGGTATTAGATGAGGAAAATGCTTGAGTTTGGTTGGCGTTGTGTTAGAGAAGAGCGTGACTAAAGAGGAGATGATAGAAGGTTGAGGCGCAAGCTAAGATCGGAAGAAGAGGTCGAGACAAAAACGAATACTACAAAGTAAGGCAGTAGATCAGAATGGAGGCTGAATCGAGATGAAGTGAAAACGAACGATGAAGCGTGTGGCCACAGGAGTAGTCGACAACAGAATTTGTTCGTCAGAGGAGTGGCAGTGGTTTTATTTCGTGATGAGTGAGAAGAGGAAATTGTTTGAGCGTGAAGTCTGAGAGTCTCAGCTTTGAACCCTAACCATAACCAAATGATAACGTATCTATACTTTTGCATTCATTCTTGTTTTTTTGCATAATAACAATAACGGAGAGTGGTGAAGCGGGCTTGTTGGTGGTTGTGCCGAATCTCGAGGCTTGTATTCGTTTTTGGTGCACAACAATATTGCCTAAAAAAAGACCTCTTCGTGGACTTATCTGGTCCAGGCCTTGCGCCTAAAGCAAGTTGATAGACACGAACCGCTGATTTTCACATTAACCCCCTTGACTCTTTCTAATTGTTTTAGTTTTTCTCTTTTAGTTTAGATTTTCTTTAAACTTTCTTAATAAAATTTAGTGATAAAAGGACAATAAAAATATGTAGAATTTAGGAATTTCTTTTAATTTTTCTATTTTTTTGTTGTGATAAAAAAGTATAAAATCAATAAAAAGTTATCTGATTTTTTATTCGATCTTAGGAGTTGATTCATGATTATCCGATTACTCGAGACTTGCAATTCACCTTTGCTTGTTGAGATTTGATTCTTATGCAGTTTATTGTGTGATATGCGGATATACTTGAGATTTCGATTTTGATTTATTTTCACATTGATGATGCTTTGACACTTATTCCGAGCATTTAATTTCTGACTCTTTTCTATTGCTTGGTGAAGCTTACTCGAAGTTTTTCGGGTTTCTCTTCTTTGCTAGTTGTGCTATAAACTCTTGTTCATTTGGTATTTTGCCTGGTTTATCATTCCATATTTTACCGCTTTTCTATATATCATGAGAAGTAGGAACTTTACTACTTTATAGATATCATGAGAAGTAGGAAATAAAGAGCGTGCACTCGAAGTCGCTGTTTAAAGTCCTGTAGCAGGCACCACTTTCTGTATGCTGATTGTGTTTGTTTAAAGCCCTATCTTTGAATAGTAAATTCTGCACGTGTGTTTATTTTCTTGCATGTTTTTGTGTCATTCTCGATGATGAGTTTGTTACTTGGTCTTGGATTCATTCTCTATGATGAGTTTGTTCCAAGTGGATTTGGTTTACATTACTTTTTATCATTTACAATTATGTCAAAAATACAACGAAAGGAATAATAATGTTGTGCGCCTAGTTCATACCCGGATGGGATGTTCCCTTTGAGGCTTGGTTTGGTTCACTCTTGATGATGAGTTTGCTCCCTATTTATTTTACTTGTTGCACAAGCATAAAATGAAAAGAAATGCTTAGATATTATTCGCCGCGGTTCACTCTCGATGATTGTTCCCTCTTTTGTGTTGTTTCACTCTCGATGATGATTTTGTTCTGTTTAATCATTTTTCCTATGTGCTTATTGTTGTACCCCAATTTTTGCCCCTAAGATTCCTCTATCATATCATATCAATTCAACCATATCAAGATCACACTAGGGTTTGGCTCTTCTCCTTATATCTAGGTTTGCTCATGAGGAACCACCAAGCACCTTAATTTGTATATTGTGATCATCTATTTTGTATTGATTAACTTTTAACTAATAAATACAATGAATGTTTGCTCTAATTGATGATATTATAGGTGATGGCACAACACATTTCATCAAGTTGATTCATAGGTTCATGAGTTTATTTCCATGCCTTCTCCAACAAAGCTTCATTGAGATTCAAGCTTCATCATTGAAGACTCTTTAAATTAATATCATGACAAGGTCTACTATGATTCATCATCCCTCAATTTATCAAAGAAAGTCAACAGATGCAAGGATTGGTTGAAGAAGTTTGACCTAATTGGACAAATTCTTGATTCTTTGATCACAAGTGCATAACTCTCTCAATTATTAACATTTGGAAGTGGTTTTTGATGCTATGGTTTATTATTATAATCCTCAACAACTTCTATTCACATGGAAAAAGTAATTATGCAAGAAAGTTTGTCAAAGTTGAAAAGGGTTTCCAAGTCATGTTGGTGCTTTAAGAGCTAGGGTTTTGGACTTCTAAGGACTATATCTTGCTCATCTTTTGAGTTTTTTTACGTGATTCCAAAGATATGCTTCTCTTTACAGGTTTATCAACTAATCAATTCAAGAGTTTCAAGAAAATTTTGTGTGGAAGATGCCTAATGATGAAGAAAGATTACAAGTCCTTTAGATAGGCCATCAAATTCCCTTATGTGACTTCAAAAGATCATAACTTGGTCAATTTTTATCTCCTTGAGCCCATTAGTTTTCCATAATGATCTTAAGGGTGTGAACTTCAACTCTTCTTTTATGTGAAAAGCTTGAAAATGAGTGGAAGATTCCCTAAGAACCCAAAAGATTATAGGTCATGTCATGAATTTTTACCAATGTTATAAAGCCATAACTTTTCCAATACTTGGTATTTTTGAGTGATTAAAGTTTCACAATTCTCTTTGGGAAGTATAATTAAAGCTAGAATCAATGATCAAAGCTTAATTTTGTAGGAAGGCCTTGTTTGAACTTAAAACATTATAGGTCACCTTTGAAGAAAAACTTAGAATTTTTCTAAGTACAAAAAGTCAACATCTTTTTCTCAACTTTGACTCATCACAACTCCTACATCAAGTATCCAATTGATCTCATTATTTTCACATTGTAAATTTTGTGACCTTATATTTCAATTGCTTCAAGAATCATGCCTTAAGACCCCTTGAACTGTGAACACCATGGATTCAAAGATGGTACCTTGAAACTGATGTTTTCTCCAAAGTCAGAATTTGAAACCCATAATGTGGCTTATAAACACCAAATAGCGCGTGTTTATGATCTAATCATGTTTAACTAATTTTCCAAAGAGGATTAGAGCCTCTAAATGCAAGGTTTGAGTGAGTTTTGATGCTAAGCAAGTCACAAATTTCTCATGTCCACGACCTCTCACGATTTCCCTCCAAACTCCACTAATTTTTCAAATTCTCATTCTCATTCTTATTCACTTCCCTATAAATAGAGGAACTCACTCCTCTCAGTTTCTCAAGCTTGAACAACTAAAATCACTTTGTCAAACTCCCTCCGTAACTCCCTTTTCTGAGATTTCGAATCCCTCTTTTCACCATTTTTCAATCTAATTTCTTCATTGATCCTTCATCCTTGAACTTCACTGAAGCTAACAGAAAAAGAGTCTGTAAAATCAAGCTTCTCAAATGCACTTTTGTTTTGATGAAGACAAGCCATGATCGATAAGAAGACAAAGATTATTGATCAAGCTAAAAGCATTTGTGGATAAAGTCTTTAGTTCAAGCACTTAGAAAATTTCAAGGTATAATGATAATACTTACTTTGAACTTAAGAAATAGATGCTCAATGGTCAAAAGAAATATTTTATATTGTTCAAATCCTTACTCAAGTTTTTCTAAGCTAAAAATCATTTTTCACTTGAGTGCAATCGATTTGCATATTAGTGCAATCGATTGCATGCTTCAATTTTTCAAAACATTTGCTACTGTTTCTAAGTGAAATCGATTTGCATGTTTGTGCAATCGATTGCACTCAATCAATTTTTTACTACTGACTTTAAATGCAATCGCTTTACACACTTTTTCAATCGATTGCACACTCAAAATATTTGAATTTCTAGCTGTTGAAACCCCGTGCAATCGATTTACACAAAGGGTGCAATCGATTGCATGCTGCACGATTTTGAAAAACAACAACTTTACACATGCCTGTTCATAACACCATTTCATGGAAACCTTTCACTCAATCTTGGCAATTGTTCATGATTCATTTACAGAACTTTATGCTGTTTCAAAAATGTGCTATGAACATATAAATACTCATTTTCAAAATCATTTCAACATTTCTTCCAATCATTATTTTCTGAATTTTCAAAAATCAAACTCAAGCTATTATACATTTTCATACATAAGTTTTCTGCACATTTTCACATATTGTTAACCAGAAAACTTTGAGTATTATATATCTTGATTCATTGTATACTATTATCATTGGAAGAGAAGATCAATTCATTGATTAAATCACTCAAAGTGATCATTGCTACTCAAACTCACTCAAATCAAATATTGCTATATACTTGCTTATTTTTCAGGATTGTTGGAAATAAGTTCAAGTGGTTTTTATAAATCTTGCTTTTCCAAGATTGTTGGATACAAGTAAAGTAACCTTGAGAGGATTGTTATCATTGTTGACATATTGAAAATCCAAGAGGATTGTTCTTGGTCCAAGAGGATTGTTCTTGGTCCAAGAGGATTGTTCTTGGTGGTTTTATTGGTTAGAGTCTTGTATAGAAGGACTAGGGTGTCTTGTTTAGAGATCTAACAATAAGGAAATCTCTTTCATGTTGAAAGGAGACTAGAGTACTCTCGGACTATGAGGAGAACCAGTATATATCGCTTGTGTCTCTTTATTTTTCTGCACTTTACTCTTTCATAAACTCACCATAAACCAGAAAAATAATATTCATCATCACTAAAACCAACAATTTTAAAGTACCTAATTCACCCCCCCTCTTAGGCGTACTTTGTACTAATAATTGGTATCAGAGCAGGTTATAGGTAACCTGCTCCTAAAAGATCCAGAATGGCTTCCGCAAATCAAAATCCTATTTTTAGAGATGGTGGTAGTAACAACAAGTCTCCTCTATTTTGTGGTGAATATTTTGACTTCTAGAAAAAACGCATGAAGGCACATCTAGAAGCACAAGGAGAAGAAATATGGGATGCCGTCGAGAATTTTCCATTTATTCCTATAACAGTGATCAATGGTGCTGACTCATCAAAGCCTAAAACTGCATGGGATGAAGATGATAAGAAAAAGGTCCTTTATGATAAAAAGGAAATCAACCTTCTTCAAGGTGCACTTAGCATGGATGAATTCTTCCGTGTCTCGGCATGAAAAACTACGAAAGAAATATGGGATACCTTGATAGAAACTCATGAAGGAACCGCTGAAGTTAAAAGATCAAGACTAAATACCTTGAGTCAAGAATATGAATTATTTCGAATGCAGCCCGGAGAAACCATCCTTGACCTAAAAAAGAGATTTGTGCACTTGACAAATCATCTAAGTGCTCTTGATAAGATTTTGACGAATCATGAACTTAATCTTAAAGTGCTTAGATCTTT